ACCATTTTTTTTACCATGGATTTAATCAACTTGTTAATTGGTGGAGAATCAATTTATAGAAATTAATTGTACATTAATTAAACATCCATAGTTTTTCTTTTAAAATTTTTTTTTTCTTTTTAAATGCCACGAAACCCTAGATGTAGGCGTTTTGCGCCTGCTTCTCTTCCAATTTTTTCATAAAAACACAATAATTTACTATATTTTGACATTAAAACTTTATTTTAAGTCATATTTGCTTTAAAAATTGATATGTTTTCTTATCAAAAGAAAAAGATTTTTATAAAAAAAGTCCAATTTTCAAAATTCATAATGGCGGATCCAATATGGCGGACAAATTTTCAAAAACTCATTAGATTCGTTTGAAACTTGATACTCGGGGTTTTTTGATTCGTCATGACGAATGTAATGGACAATTTTCAAAATTCAAAATGGCGGATCCAATATGGCCGACGAATTTTCAAATAAAAACTCATCGGTCCGATGAAATTCGTTAATCACGTTCTTTAGCTATTAAAATGTTTAAATTCTTTCTAACGTTGCCCCTTTTTCACCATGTTGAAGTAAACGTGAATTGGACAGTCTTTTAAAAATTTTTTTATACTTTTTCTTATTTATAATATTTAGATTTAAGTCTTAAAAAACTAAATTTAAATGCTTTTTTAACCCTTAATTATTTTTGTCTGCAAAACGCTGTTTGCAAAAATAGGCATTGCCCATTTTACAAAATAAATGTGTTCGAATTTAACAACAGAAAATATTGCTCTTCAGAACTTTATGAAATCAGAACACATTTATTTTGTAAAATGTGCAACTCCTTTTTCTGCAAACAGAGTTTTGCTAACAAACATAACTAATGATTAAAACAAAACATTAAAATTAAGATTTTTCGAGCTTTAAATTTAAATATAAATTATGTCACGTTATTTGTAACATTTAGAATTATTTTTCTGATATTTCGTATAGTAGAAAAAATTGAAAATTAAACAAAAATTTGAAAAAACGGACTTTTTTTTATAAAAAACATTAATAACTTATTTGTTTATAAATTTTTGATTTTTTTTATAACGTCATTCGACAGAGCGCATATGAAAACATAAGAAATAATGATTGATGAATTTTTCTATTCATTTTTAAGTACCGAAATAAGTCCTCAAACTTCATGCCAAAATTTTGTACATTTGTGCGTTAAAGGGTTATAAAGAAAATCAATTTTATCATTTTCTGGGGTTCCTAGTTCGCAGGGGCCCCGGACAATCTAACCCCCAAACCGTCTATTGCTACGCCACTGTGTCGCTAGTTAATAATTATTTATAAAATTTTATAAATTAATATTTAAAATTAAGTAACAAGTTGAAACAATGTGTTCGATAAAGGAGAAAATCACCAGTGCTATAAAATAGTGAATTATGAAAATTGTTATTCTAGTTTCTCTATTTCATAGAACCACTTCTTTTATTTTCATATCGTGCACATTAGTCATTCAGCTTTTAGATAAAATTAAATGATAATTAATTAAGACTATCATTTGCAACAAATGTTTAACAACAAAATTAGAATTTTAGCGCTATTTATAGTGCAATGCAAAATATGACGCCGCTATACTAATCGGAATCTCGCGGGGTAAGAAATTATAATTAACAAAACTTTTTATAATTTTGAATTATTATTGTTATTAGCAGTATATTCTATTGCTTAAAATAATGACTCTTTAATTACACATACATAAGCATTCACAGGTGTTCTTGAAATTTATTAGATACATCAGAAACTTTATGCTCATTTACACTTGTGTTAATGAGTATAATTTAGTGCAAAAAATATTCTGATATTTCTTCTAAATTATTAATTATTTCTTCGTAATCACGAATCATAAGTCAGATTTTCAAAATTTTTTAAACTCAAAATGGCGACATTTTTTTAAAAATTACTCAAATTTTCATGAACTTTTTCTGTCTCTCACACTCTGAAGTTGTCTTTTATTTATACTTTTGTTTTTTGTTATCTTTAGATAGATTGTATATTATGTTTTCTAAAATTTTAATAAATCCTTCGAAAAAATTTAATTATTTTTATAAATAGTAAAATTCTTCACAAGAATTAAATTATTTTTAATCAAATTTAAATAAAATTACATGAAAGAATTTAATTATTTTCAAAACTTTCAATGCAATTTTTAAATATATTCGTCAAAAAAATTGAAGGAATTCAATTATTTTTAAAAAATAATAAAATTCTTGTGATGAATTCAATGATTTTGAATATACATTTAATTTTAATAAAATTCTTTAAAGAAATTCCATTATTTTCGAAACAACTTTAATTGAATTCCTCGGATCAATTCAAATATTTTTAAATATTTTCATAAATTTCAATTATGTCCAAAAATTTTAATAAATTCTTTGAAACAATTTTTATAAATAGTAAAATTCTCCGAAAGAATTCAATTATTTTCAATTCACTTTTAATAAAATTTTTCTTCATAAAATTCAAATGCTTTCAAAATTCTCAATTAAAATTATTAAAGAAACTCCATTAGTTTAACAAAAATTCAAAGAAATTCTTCAAAAGAATTTAAATAGGATTTTTAAAAATTTTAATAAAATTCTTTGCAAGAATTCAGTTATTTTCTGAAATAATAAAATTCTTTAAAGGAATTCTATTATCATGAAATTTTTTGATAAAATTCTTTGCAACAATTCCATGATTTTCAATATATTAATTTTAAAATTGAAAATATTTGAAAAGAAAAATTATAGAAAAGTGAATAATAATGCAATTTATTTTGCATTATTTTTGTTTATGAATCACAATTTTTTTAACAAAATTATTATTATGTTTTAGAAAAAGAAGAAAAATATTTACAAATTTTCTATTTTTTTAATCTTATTTTTGGAACAGGATTTTCCACAGAAATTAAAGACATTCAAAAATTTTAAATTCAAACCTTTTTGAAATTAAACAACTTATAAAAGTATTTGTTATAAAATATGAAGATATCGATTGCTCCGAGTCGAAACTCGGAGTGATCGATTTCTTCATGTTTTATAATAATTAAAGATGACCAAGTAGTAAAATAATTATTTTATATTATTATAAGAATATTGTTACTGTAACTTCATCAAAATTAATTTCATCATTTTAATTTAATTATTATTTTCTAGAATTTTAAATTATTTTTTATGAAAATAATTAAATTCCTTTAAAAAATTTATTATTTATAAAAAATAATAATTAAATTCCTGTGAAATTTTTATTATTTATGAAAATAATTAAATGTTTGCGTACATAGTTGAATTTTATTTTTTGAAAATAGTTGAATTTCTGCAATTATTTGTAGGGGAGAGTGGGGCAAAGGCGCTATGCGGGGCAAAGACGTTTTTTAAAATATCTCCTTTATTTTCTGTCTATTCCAATTGGTATTAAAAATTAAGTTGCAATGCAATCAGACCAATTGATTAAAAAAAGAAGAACCTAAAAATGTCAAATATTTTAAGAAATATAACAAAAAAATTGTTTTGCAAAAATAAAATGATAATTTTACTGAACAAACTTTTATTTTTTAAAACATAAGTTTAAGTATTTAATTTTTAAAAACGAAACATGTAAATAAATTTAATATTTCTCTTCACAACTGGCGTGGTGTTTTAGTTTAATTTTGTATCTAAATATTTTAAATTTAAAGTAAAAAAAAGTAATATTGAACATAATTTGGTTAAAAACAATTGAATATTCTAATTTTTCTATGTATTTATCGTATTTATTCACAATATAAGGTTAAAATCACTAAAAGTTTTTATTTTTTATTTAAATAGTTTAATTATTTTAATAATATGTTGTTAACCTTATGTTTCGTAAATATTATACTAATAATTATCACTTGTTAATTTTTTTAAGGCTTATTTAAAAGAAAGCATTTGCTTTCTTTTAGAAATATAAGCGAAAACGTCGCTGCCCCAGCGTGTGGGGCAAAGGCATTTTTTGCATTGTTTTTAGATTTTATTAAATAATGTATTTATAATAATTATAATATACTAAATAACAACTATTAAAATTTCTTATTGATTAGTTTTAAAATAATGAAAAACAAAGACCGCATAAATTAATTGCTTAATTTAAAAAATATACATCGATAAATGTAAACCTAGCGCCTTTGCCCCACTCTCCCCTAATTTCTCCAAAATTGATTTTTTTTAGTGTTTTCAACAAAAATTTAAATTTGAAAGTTTTCAAATTCTATTATTTTTAAAATTGTTAATTTTATTTTAAAAAAGTGAGTGAAAAGTCAGCTGTGCGCTTAAACGCGTAAATTGTAGCTAGTTGTTTATAATAATTGTAATTGAACTATGTAATTTTTTATTTTTTTTTACAAATAGCAGTAACGTTCGCGATTAAAACAAGTTAAATTAATGCTTAATTGGTTCAAATTTATAAGGAATTATGTCAAATTTGTTAAGTGGTACATATATGTACCGTACGCACGAAAGGGTTAAAAGTTAATGTTAGATATTTAATATTTTGCATTAAGAGTTTATTTTACTTTCAAATTGAGAATTTAAGAATGTATAAAACAAAGAAAAAAGAATAAAATAATAAAAAATAATAAAAAATATTTGGCTTTTTATAAAAAAAGTACGTAAAGCGATTTTGTTTAATTTTTTCTAAAATCGTAATAGTTAATTAAAAAAATGAGTCTCATTATTTTTTGTGTAATATAAGGAAATAAAATTGTGCATGTATTTTTTGACACGCCCTTATAAAACATTATAGAAATTCTTGGAGAATTTGATAAGAGTTTACAAGAAAGTATCAGTAAAAAAAAGTGTTATATAACATTTCTTTGAATGACGTAACCCTGACCGGTGTCGATGACAGGAGAAATAACTACATGGGGAGGGAATCTGGACCCGTTCCTATTGACGGGGGGGTATCTACCTAGAATCGGGGGTCCCCCACTGTGAGATATTTTCCACTAAGACCCCACTTCTTGCACTTATTGCAGGAAAAAGTTACGAGCCTATGGCGGGCCCAGTTCTGCTAAGAACGTTGAGACGCGCGAGATAGCAATTTTTGATATCGATTATATTGATATAGTCCCTTAAATTATTCATCCCCCTAATAAAAAATAAATATTTATCTTTTGAGAGAAAAAAAATTATTCCAATTATTTTAGAATTAAATCGATAAGATTTTTGTTTTAATTTCTGAAAGGAAGTTAACGAAGAAAAACTCCCGGAAGAGTCACGGTACCAGTGTACGAGTTTTATGCAAGTTTCCGGATTTCCACCTTTCTTTTCTGAGAGCGCGTGTGTTGAGTATAGTGACACGCAAGGACGTTTTCAATATCTTTTATAAGAAAGAAGAGAAGATTACCTGATAAGAGGAGAAGAAAGTTAACAACAAAAGGGAGGGCGGGAGGGAAACAATTCAAATTTGGCGCTCCTCAGCTTCAGTTAAACGAGGCATGAGGATCTAAGGACAAAATTTAGCTGAACAAAATTACATCGAGGTAGCATTTCTTTACATGTACGTAAACAATTTCCGCTTTTATAATATCATTTATAATATCACTAATATCACTAATGTTGTTACTTGAAAAAATACTTTCAATTTAATGTAAATTAGTGCTTCCAAATTTTTTTTGGCTTCGATCAAAACAATTTTGGCCAAAAGAAACAAGATTTCTATTATCTATTCTGAAATTCAGAATAAAAATTGCACAAATGTCAACTGCGCATGTTTAATTGTCTAAAAGAATGTTTATCAGTTTTTACTAAAACATACAATACGCGAAAATCAGTCCATAACCTTAATGTCAAAGAATATGCACTGATTTATTGCAAAATAAAATCCTTTTGTAGAAATAATTTTACATTTGATAGATAAGAGGATGCATATTAAAATTAGAAGAATCCGCTAAAATAGAAATTACTTCTTTAGGGTGAGATGTTTAAAAATAGTCTTTTTACTATTACTTCAATTTTAAATAAATTTAATTATATGAAGATTTTTATGCTTTAACAGATTAAAAATCTGTTAAATATTAGAAATTATCCTTTTTGAAATTTAAAACTTGTACGTAGTTAATTGAAACCCAAGGATTCCTTCCTAATAAAATTTATTTTTCCTATGATAATGATGAGACTAAACTCCGCAACATTGATATGAACGAAAAATTGGAAAAGAATGTATTTCAAGCTAAATTCATCTTCAATTTTAATGTGCCTGGATTTTTAACAAATTAACTAGAGGATAGTTACTTACAAATAATTTTGTAGCAAAAATAATAAATTTTTAATTATTTTTTCGTTTTTAAAAACGTTACGGACTTTAGATTCATAATATGTTAATAATAAGACTATAATTAGTCTTATTATAATAATAATAGACTATATTACATAATATTAGACTATATTATGACTAATATAGAAAAATTTTAACCAAAAAATGAAAATATTCACTGGCGTCACATATATATTCTTATAAATTTAAAGAGTTCAAAGTTTCCTTCTAGAAGAAGCAAAACAATATAAATATTACTAACAAAGTTATTTGCAATACCGAAAAAAGAAAATGCACTGAAAATTGATACTAAAATTAGCAGTCGAGAATGTAATACGATGAGCTTCTAAAATAAGAAATATAAATCGTTGACATTGCAAAAAGTAATCAGTTCCACGTTGAAGGTAGACTCCATTCTTTAGAAAAGTCAAAAAATGTAACGAAACATTTTTAGAATTAAAAAAAGGTGTATAGAATAGATATTTATTTTTCTTATTATGTCAACTAATTTCTTTATGTATTTTATAAAACATGTTTAATTATATAACCACTAATAGTAAAAACAGTATACACACAGGCTTTAGTTGTTCCACCAAAGAATTTTTTGATTATTTGAAACTTTTGTACAAAATGTTTTTCTTATGAAAAAAATATGACATAAATTCAAAAGATTTCCATTAATTTACATTAGTTATTTATTTACATTAATTATAATTTAATCACTTCCAAATATCATAACATTCGAGCTAAATATTATGTCAATATTGCCTGTCAATGGTGAGACAATTTTAACCCAACATTATCAATGTCTGCCTGGCAATATTGATGAAATAACCCTTTCGTGCCTCTAGGACATATATGTCCCAAATAAAAAAAATTGATGATATTCTAATAAAAGTTAATCAATTAATTTGCGGAAAATTTCTTTCTATTCCGAATGGCCGTTGCTACAATTAAAAAAATAATAAATTACGTAGAACGATTATAATTATTATAAACAATAGGTAAAATATTTATAAGAAAATAGCGAAACTTAATATGTCCCACTTGGAAAAGTTTATAATATTCTTATAAAAGTCAATCAATTAATTTGGGGTGAATTTCTTTCTATTCCGAATGGCCGTTGCTACAATTAAAAAAGTAATACATTACCTAGTACGATTATAATTATTATAAACAATATTTAAAATATTTATAAGAAAATAGCAAAATCTAATTTTTCAAAATTTCCTCAAATTCGCTTAAAACATCTTACTCAGGGGTTTTCGGGTTGCTGATTAAGAATCTTAAGTTAGATTTTCAAAATTCAAAATGGTGGACATTTTTTTTTCAAATCTGCTTAAATTCGCTTAAAACTTGTTATTCGGGGGGCCACCATTTTGAATTTTTTAAAATCTGACTTCAGATTCGTAATCAGCAACCCCGAAAACCCCCGAGTAACAAATTTTATTTAAATTTGAGCAATTTAAAAAAAATGTCTGCTATATTGGATCCCCCATTTTGAATTTTCAAAATTTTGAAAATCTGACTTCAGATTCGTAATCAGCGACCCAAAAACCCGTGAGTAACAAGTATCAACAAAATTCAATTGCTGGGTTTCTCAGGAGCACGAAAGGGATAATGTTTCAATTTTAAACATTATTCAAAATAATACATTTCTTTTATGAGAAATAAAACTTTTTAGTTTGATTTGCAAAATTGTGTACAAATGTTATAAAAAGAAGTTAATAACAACATTCTAAAAAACATGCTGTCATAAAAAATTTCATAAGAAATTCTACACAAATTTCTGTGTTGAAATTCGTTCAAATTTTATAAAAATTGCGAATCTAATTTTTTTTTTAAATATTGCATGAAAATTGACTGGGCATTCGTACGAAGTTCGTACGAGGAATCGGTTGCGTATGGATTTTTAATCAAAATATTTAAAAATTCACTAGAATTTTTAGACGACAATTTTTTTAATCAAAAACTGATATCAAATTCTAATATCACTTATTATTATTTATGAAACCCCATATAATATTCAAACTTTAATTTAATTGTTAACTAAAATTTATGTGAAAAAATTAACAAGTTATGATTATTATAAGCTATGCTATTCTGTCAATGGTAATTTTTATTAATTACTGTTACTCTTTAGTTTGTAGAACTAACCTCTAGTTATTATATTCTAATTAATTTAATAGGTAACCTATCAATCAAAATAATTACATAAACTAATAAAATAGCTAGGTCTACTAAACAATTTTTAACCAAAACCAATAAATACTTATAATAACTATTTTTAAAAAATTATATTTTTAATTCTGAATTTAATATATGTTATTATAAATAAAAATTAATACAATTTCAGGCGAAATGAATGAAAAAGAATTTTAGAAAGGAATTACAATTTATTTTATCAATATGTAATGGAGTCACTTTTATATGAGAGTAATAAAAATGGAGAATTTCTGCGGACACGTTTTCGTAAGAAGTCGCATAGATTTTGCAATCTTTGCTGATCCCAACTCATGTCCTAACTACTGTACATATATAAACACCTGTAAATAAGAAATTTCGCACAGACTATTCTATGTATATATATATGCAAGAAACTCAATGCAATAGAGACATATTATTCTATACTTGACTGTATCGAAATAACTCGAATCTACGTAATTATTAAATTTATTATTATTATTGACAGACAAATATCATTCGTTCTTTACCCTGATTTTCAGTAATTACCTATTCTCGTATCCTGTGCAGTTTAATGAAAACAACAAATATTTGGAATCCTTTTTTTTATTAAAAATTGGTACTAGAAGAAACCAAAATAAAAAAGTTTTTCCCTTTTGGTTTACGAAATGAATTTTTTTTACTTTGTATGCACAATGAAAAATAAATTTTTAATAATATTAAATATTAAACTTTTAAAACTATTACAACATAAAAACATCTGTCCCACTTAGAAAAATTTATATTCTTATAAAAGTCAATCAATATTAATTTGGGGTACATTTCTTTCTATTCCAAATGGCCGTTACAACAATTAAAAAAATAATATATTACGTAGTACGATTATAATTATTATAAACAATAGGTAAAATATTTATAAGAAAATAGCGAAATCTAATGTGTCCCACTTAGAAAAATTTATAATATTCTTATAAAAGTCAATCAATTAATTTGGGGTAAATTTTTTTCTCTTCCGAATAGCCGTTGTTACAATTAAAAAAATATTAAATTACTTAGTACGATTATAATAAAAAAACAGTGCTGGCGCAGTACAGAATTTTTTGTTCCTCAAAGTTCAAACAAGCTTCGATGTCAAGTACTGTCAGAAAGTAGAAAAATTGTTCACAACGCTTTTTGACAGCATTGATTTTTATGACCTTTATTTTAAACAAATAATAAAAAAAGTTGATAAAAGTTTATAAACATAAATTGATTGAAAAAAATTCATATTTACTCCAATATTTTGTTATATTTTTAAAAAATAATTTTACATAATTTTCTAATTTTGTGAAAAACAATTTATTTAAACAAAATTTTAATGTTAACCATACTTGGTACTTTTAGAATCTTATTAATCTTCCTAATATGAATTTTTAAATTATTACTGGTAAATTTTTCTTTTTAAATAATTTCCATTTTTAAAATTAATTTATTCAAAATCATCGAATTGTTTCAAAACTTTTTTGTCACAAAATTAGATACCTAATATTAGAATTTCTTCAAAGAATTTTATTATTTAGAAAAATAATTGAATTCTCGAGAAGACATATTATGTTAAAATTTTTGATAATTCTAATTAACCACTTTCTGAAGAATTTCTTTAAATTTTTTTTTAAATAATGGAGTTTCTTTAAAAATTTTAATTAAAAATCTTAAAAATAAAATAAATTTTAGGAACAATTTCTTTCAAGTCTTTGAAATAATCGTGTTTGTTAATAATTGAAATTAAACATTTAATTATTGAATTCAATTAAAATTTTTTAAATTATTTTTTAAAAATTTTATAACGAATTAAGAAAAAAATTTAATTCTTTAGTGAAATTTTTTTGAAAATAATTGAATTTTTGCAAAGAATTTTACAATTTATAAATGTAATTGAAGTTTTTCGAAGAATTTATGAAAATTTTAAAAAATAATTGAATCCTTTAAAATTTTTTACAACGAATTAAGAAAAGAAATTGAATTCTTTCGTGAAATTGTTTTGAATAGGGGAGGGTAGGCTACATTGAACCGGGTATTTT